GAGAGAGAGAGAGAGAGAGAGAGAGAGAGAGAGAGAGAGAGAGAGAGTAAATAAAAGCGTGTTAAAGTGGAAGATATAGCGTCGAGGGAGTTGTCAATCAGGGACAGGCATTTCCAAAGGGCCTGCGGCACTTCTTTTTGGTCGGAGTTCCTGGCTGGTCATTGAGGCGCGACCATGGGGGTTCTTGGTATCAGGAGGGGTGGTGGTGGATCAATGGGAGGTGAAACAGATGAAGACGAGCTCCGAGTCAGGCGCGATCCTTCGGAAGGTGAAGGGGAGGTGATCAATGGTCGGGGCTGGGCGACGGTGCTCCGCCAATCGGTTCTGTTTCGCTGGAGGTCGAGGAGTTTGCTTCTGGCCGTACTGATTGTGGCTTTGTGCTGCGGACTGGACGGGAGACTGGGCGTTGGGAGCGGAGTCCGGCTTATGACTCTCGCCGAAGGACGGCCGTTGGTCTCGCGCTCGCTTTCTGGCGGCACGGTGTTGGGGGAGAGGTTCTTGCAGGCTACTTTGCCTCGAGCCACTTGTGTTACGATCTTGAACAGCTCGATAATAACAAGTTGCTCTCCTGTGGTGGAGCACTTGCCGCCTTCCGTTCTCTTTGCAGGTCTGCCCGACGACGCAGCTTGTCAGTTCGCCATCCGTAACTTAGTGCTTCGCCCCGATGGGTCCGAGGTGTATTACGTGGCCACTGATGCCTGTAACAAAGGGACGAATCCCTTCGCGCCCGACATAGTCAGTGTCCAGTCAATCCTGAAGGCGAGCCTGGGAAGCAGCAGCATGGGCAGCGTCGCCCTTCCAACTCAGCAAAGCGAGGCAGGCGAAGAATTTCTCGTCAGTTACATGTGGCCTACCTCCAGTCCGTCAGGAGCCCCTCCTCGAGTCCCGACTGTTGCAAATGCGACGCAGGGGCAAGCGATGGCCCACGCATACACCGCAGCCCTATCCGATGACGGGCGCAGCCTGATAGTAGGTGCGTCCCCGGACCCCGTAACGGAGACGTCATGGATCGTCTCGCTGGATGTGGAGACTGGCGTTCGCTCTTCCATCCCGATCAGCGCGGCCACGATCTACGGTTTGGCGTTCAATCCGAACCACACTGAGCTGTACATCGCGGACACAGAGGAGCCGCCCCGTCTTCTTCTGGCGCACGTCAACGGCTCGAGTCCACTGCCGCCTTCCTTCAACGCCAGCTTGTTTCTTACCCTCCACCCTGGTAACTTCAGCACTCCCAAGTTCGGGCCCTACAGCATGGCAGCAAACGGGACATGCATGTACCTGATGGACGTTAGGCTCGGGCAGGTGTGGGCACTTGACACTGCTTCTCGCCAGTTGACGCTTATCGTCGGAAAGGAGGCTCCCATCGCAGCGCAATTCGAGGACACGTTGGGAGAGCTCGTGACGACATCGGACGGGCGTAGCGTCTTCTTCACATCGCTCGGTGGCACATTGCATCTCCTCACGCTCGATTCCGCATGTGGCACACCTCTCTCCTATCAAATCGTCGCCAGAATGGTAGATAATTATCTCGTGGGCCTGGCCATCAGTCCGGACGTGGAATACCTTTACGTAGGAACCGGCGATGGGCATATCCTAAGACTCGGATTAGGCGAGCTTCCCTAGAAACCACGTGTCTCGCGCGTTTTCCATCCTCGCTCTTTTCGTCGCACAGCGGCCCCTTTCCCTCTCATCGATGTCGCCCCCCGCTCAGACTCCCTGAAGCGGATGTGGCTTGTCTCCTTCTAAAGACCCTTCGCTAGATATTGTCCCCTATCTTTTTCACCTACAGTTCCTACGACTAGGTAGTAGTACCGCGTGTGATAGTCCTTTGATGTTGTACCCCTTCTCGGAATATAATATCGTCCGCTAAGGTAGTTGATACCAAAAAAAAAAAAAAAAACCCGAATAACAGCGGATATCACTCCTCTGCTGAGCCTCACACCTTCAGTTCTCGAAGTAGAAGCTCGTCGCGATTCGGATCAACGATCGAAGCATCTTGGATTTTAAGTATATCTAACTCATTTTGACAGAAAATCAATCTATGGTTATCGATACTCAAGTGACTATGTGTCTGTCAAGGGTCTCTACTTAGAACTTGAATTTTTTTCTTCCCCCTGAAAATATATGTCGCTTTTGCTCGAGTTCTTTTTTGTGTCTGCTACCACGAATGTGAGTTTTTGCTCGTCTCCTTCCATGGGGCTGAGAGAGCGGATAAGCGAGCGCGCGTGCGCACGTGGGCGCCCGCGCCAGCGTGTATGTTAGCATCCCAGTTCTGTGACAAGTCTAAGAATCGTACGTCGGTCGTAGTCGCCATGCATTGCCTGCCACGTGTACGGATTATGTAGCGCGAAATGACGCAAGAGAGGAGCCAAGGGGTACTATTCCATTCTCTGCTTTGGAGGCTCTGTGTGGTGAGTGGTGGCTTCGCTGCTCTTCTCAGAAAGTAGGCAAGGTCGTTAACGCCACTTGAGTGCATCTCCTGGCCTTAAAACTTTTCCACTCGTTTTCTTCTTGCCCTATGCAATTTTTTGTCCGCTGGTTCTTCCCGCGACTACGACGGCGTACCCGATGTTTTCGAAGTCGGGGAGGGGAGGGGAAGGGACGGGAGGGGGGGGGGAGGGGGGGGCCCAAAGCGTACGCCGCCGTGCTTCTCAACCAGAGACCGAACGACCCTGATCATCGTAGTAGGAGTTTGATTAACGTGCTATGCGAAGTAAACTTCTTTTTCTTCTTCGTCTTCTATAAAAGTTCTGTTTGTTCCTATGGTTGTTCTATTTTTCCTTTTTGGGTTCAGCCGCTCAGTTTGAGCGGTAAACAGGTTGAAGGCTACTTCTAGTTGAGTTCCAAAAAGTTAGAAAGGTCAGGGTTTGTCTTTTTTTCTTGGAGTCTTGAATCTCGAGTTAAAAAATGTGCTGGCGGGGCACGATCGCGCAGCGAATTCTCCACGATTTAACTATGCATCCGAATTCCGCAGAAGGTTTTATCGAAAAACGTTGTCACTTTATACTCTTCTGATGTTTTCTAATTTCTGCGGAAACACTCGGCGTGGGTGCTCGACTACAGTTTGCAGTCAGAAGGTCTCCGATCTGATGTGTGTGTGTGTGTGTGTGTGTGTGTGTGTGAGAGAGAGAGAGAGAGAGAGAGAGAGAGAGAGAGAGAGAGAGAGAGANAGAGAGAGAGAGAGAGAGAGAGAGAGAGAGAGAGAGAGAGAGAGAGAGAGAGAGAGAGAGAGAGAGAGAGATTATTATCGATACAGTTAAATCAGTCAGACAGGGTTTTGTCTGATTCTCTGTCAAAATTATTTCTCTGAACCCCGCTCTCCTGAATTAACACCATGGTGACGCGTCGTGTTTAGCGGTTTTGAGGCTCGATTGTCAACCCAACAAGTGGTAAAAGGAGTGTTCCTTGAATGAGTAAAAGCCCTTCCGATGTTTTCCTCGGCGAAGTCTGGCATGCCTATCTGAAATGACGCTTTTTTTTTTTTTTTTTTTTTTTTTTTTTTAACATGGAGCCTCCATCTAGTGGTGGGGAGCAGCACCTGAAACGAACCTTAGCTGGGTAGAGTTTCTATTGTTGCCCTGTGAAATTCCTTACCCCTCGTTGTTCTCCGAACTGAGGCTCGACTGTAAATTGTCCTATTGAATGCTATGCTAGCTCCCTCACTGAATGATCGTTGATATTCCTTATCAGAAATGCGCTACAACTCGTAGACTAAGTACTGTGTGCCCCACACAACCGGTTTTCTAAGTTGGTAGTCATTCAGTGGAGTTTAGACTCTTCGCTTGAATATGTATGTGACTATTATCTAAATATAGCAGATCAAATTCTTTCTCAGCCAGAAGGAATAGTTCCAAAGAAAATACCGGACAGGGAATGTGGGTGTCATTGTGGGCTTCATCCCACTCGAGTGAAACGGGGAGGCTACCATATCATCGCCTATTCGCCGTTCTGAGACTGCTCAGCCGGGGAACGTGCACCGATCAAGCCCTTAGTTTCTATTCACCGTAATGAGGGGCCACCACTATGGCTGTCAGGAAGAAGAAGACGACATGATGTAGGGGAACTGAGAAATTAAAGGAAATACCTATTCTATGCCCTTGATTGTTTCTTGAAATAGATCCTTTCTTTCTTCCTCTTCCTTCTCCTACCCCTCCTCCTCTTCTTCCTTCTTGGCGTTATTCTGGAAAAAAGAGATTGCATCCTGCCTCCTTTAACTCCTTCACCTAATACAACGCACCGTCATCATCATTGTTTATGATCTGCCATTCAGGTCCAATACCATCATGATTATGAGGCTGCGTTGTTTTTTTTTTTTTTTTTTTTTTTTTTTTTTTCCGAGAACTGCGTTGGTTTTTGGGTGCTTACAGTAGTGACTTTACAACGCTGACAACGGAAGCATTGGTGCGTAATTTGTGAAGTATACAGTGAATGTCTAGCATGACATGTCCGTCCGTTTGAAAAGACCTCTGGCCAACATAGCTTTGGAAACTGATGTCAACAAAAAAACTACTTTTTGCACTTCAGTCACAGCCTGAGTTTTAATTGCAAACGTATCTCAAGCCACGGACCCAATTGCGTCAGAGCCTTGCAGGTCCGGCCGTGTTTTTTGTTTTTTTTTAATGCGTGTCATCCGTGCGCAGGGGCCATGCTAATCTTCTCTCTCTGTGTATCGTTCCAATTTTAACGGATGTCCCGAAGAACAGGTCCCGCCGTTTTGACTTGCCGCGGGAAATATCTCGGAGAAGGTCCTGGAAAAGTGGCCGGCAAGCCTGACCTGGCCTGGACTAAGGGATAATTAGTAGAAAGCGCCCACGCCAAAACCTTTTCAGTTCTGGGCGCCCGCAACTCGGCCGCGTGGTACTACCGGCCCAAACTGCCGTGTGGTACTACCGGCCCAAACTGCTTCAGCCTGGGTGAAAGGCGCTTTCGGGCCGTGGCCACAATGTCATCTCACTGGGCCTGTTCGGCCGTGTGGTACTACCGGCCCAAAACGTCTTCAG